GTTTGTTGTGTGCAGTGTATAGTGTAACACCTTGCTGGGGAATTTTTCAAGGTGTGAATGTCTGTAAGGAAATTATCTCTTGGCACCTAAAAGTACCTGCTCAACCAGCCTTAACAAGCAGACACGCGCTAGTATATGTGTGTGTGTGTGTGTGTGTGTGTGTGCAGACTAACCCCTGAGGAGATGTAGACAGGCACAAATACCCAGGCCAGAGCCAGTAGCACATAAGTGGCCTGAGAGACAAAAGGAAAGGGGAAAGAAATAGGACAGAGACGTTTGACCAGAATATTCACAGGCTGAGTAGGAAGAAAAAGGTCAAAATGTTTAACTCTTATTGTGTCCTGCAGGCCTGTGTGCCTGCCTTTATGCCGTTGCTGTGAACTGTTTCACGCCTCATGTACACCACCTAATACTGCTGGATGGTGTTTAAAAAGCTCTGCTGCTGCTCCCTGTTGCTCGTTTTCTCTAGGTCTAGACAGCAGTGTCCGGAGAGGTAGTGAAGTAAATGGTTATAAATGCTAATGTTGGTTGTTTTCTTCACACAAACAAACTGTAACTGAGTTGTTTTTCTTGCACAAATAGTTTCTCTATGATGATATAATGATGCACACCTCAGAGAAAAGTAACATGTACACAGATTAGGAGGCCAGCTCTGCCAACTATGACGTGTTTGGGTAGTATTAAAGATGAGCGAGATTAGAATCATGTTTTGTTGCAAGGATGTGTGCATGTGTGTTTCTACTCACATTCCATTCAAAACCAGTGACCGCAATGCCTCCAGCAGCTCCAGTCCCAGCCAGACCAATAAACAGACCCGAGCCCTCTGAACTGGCAAACAGAGACGCTCCGATCTGCACACACCATTGATGGAAGATGGATAATGGATAATATATTAACACATACTACATTAATATGAATCCTGAGCACTATTTTACTGTTGTAGCAGGTAGAGCTGAAGTTCGTTTTGAACAATTTCATTTAGAGTTAGTTTAGTCTTAATTTTATCACCTAACCTCACCTAAACTAAGCTGAGAGTCAGTTCCTATCACCTGAAATAGAGGTTTAAAAGCAGCAAAACGAAGGAGAAAAGGAGCCAGAAGAGCAAAAAGAAAACCAGACCAACAGATGCTAACTGGAAAACAAAGGTGAGCAAAATGGGAATTAAATAGAAACTAATAAAGAAATGTTTCTTGAATTTGTTGCATTGTTTTTATACTTGATAAAACATTAAAATACAGATATACTGCTGCTTAAATGTTGGTGCAATGGAAGGAAAGATCATGAGAGGGCATGAAAGTAATAACTGGGCATTTTAGAGGAAAGTGGAAATAAATGATACTCTAAGTATTTTGGTAAGTACAAAGTACAGTACTGAGGAACAAAGCTGGAGTTTGGGGAAATGGTGTTTTCTTACTGTGTAATTACACAGTAGGCTACAAATGGGAAAACAGCCACACATCATATTACAGCACAGATACCTTATCATTACTGTGCCATTAAGATAATTAAATTGGTAGGCTTCCTTATTACAGTGTATTAAGTTTAGCCATGTTTGATGCTATATAATTGCATTACTATATGTTGTAGCTTTGCCTCCTCACATGACAATAGAAACTGTTCAAAGCTATACATCTGAGAAAGGTATGTTTGTTTCGTTCTCCAGCGTACCTGTTCTGAGCTGTTGCAGTGCAAATTCCTCTCCTTGTCCTTATTCCGACTCACACAACGAAGAGAATACATTTTGTTAATGAGTGAATGAGTGAGTTAATGAGTGAAACCTTTTGTTAATGAGTGAAACTACATCTTGTTTTTTACATTAAACAGCAAGAATAAGTTCTGTGTTTGTAATATAATGTGTGGCTACTCCACAATGACACATTTGGAGAAATTGATGCAAATATTATCCTGCATGCATGTTAGAGCATGCATGATATAAAATAAAATATATTACCAGTATCTATTATAAAGCACCAGAAAAATATTAGTTGTATTTAAGGCAATAATTTGCCATTGTTTTTCATTTTCCATTCATTAAGAGCGACAAGCATCGCTTTTTGACTTTGGCAGGGTGGCGCCAGGGGTGGCCAGTCACATTCTGGGGGTAGCTGGTGCCACCCCTGGCCACCTCTTGGTTCCACCCATGTAAGTTACACAATAAGAACAATGTTTTGTTTGCAGTAATGTACAGTGTAGGTGCCCAGTACTTACAAAAATACATCTCCTTTCTGCTAAAATGCCAAGTTGTTACTTGTTGTAGTCATAATTTCTTCCTCTGTACTTAATTTTAAATTCCAGAAGCAACAAGTAAGAATTTTATTGGTATCTGTTTCATAATTACACTGTAATTCACAGGCTACATTATAAAGTGTATAACTATCTAGGATGTGACAACTCAAATGCCTAAACCACTCAGAACACAGATACCGTATACGTTCACATTTTATCTACATTAACAACAGGGGCATCAGGGATGTGACAGAGCAGATAGACAAAGGCACATACTCACCGGCCACCAGGCCATGTCCCGTCCTGCCAAGAAATAACCGCTCAGAGTATTTCTGCTCACCCTGCATGATGACTGATGGAGAAGACTGTTACACACAATTATCCATGTGCAGGCACATAAACTTAACAAGCGGGAAAGCACACACACACATATACACCTCTGCCTCTTACCCAGATTCCAACAGCGAGGTTGAGAAGAAAGTAGGTTGCTATTACAATAATATCAGAGATGCTGAAGGACTGTGTCAGGGCGTAGAAGTTGATGGTGGAATTAGACATCCTCAATGTTCACAATAGCACACACACTTGAAAATCCTGCAAAAATGCACGTTTGCTTGATGTATTGGCCTTCCCTTACATCCACACATACACACACACCTGCTGAATCTAACCTTTACACCTGTGCAGTCTCATCAGACTACGGATTTACACGATCTGACAGTGTAGGCCGACTTTGTAAATGTCCTAAACACCAAGAAGAACTCTATCACTCTATCAGAACTCATCACCCTAAACACTCAGAAATCTTCACACAGTCTAATAAAGAACATTTAAATACGCATGTAAACAAAAAAACAGTCTTTCATAAACACAGACACACACTCCAGCCCTTGGTAAAAGTCCCTTCTCGGCTGAACTACAAGCTGTCCTCACTGTTGCCGAAACCGAGACAGTGTTACATGTAAGTGTCAAGAGGGAAGTCCCTTGCTTGAACTGATGATTAAACTCATCACCTTAATGTGGCACCTGCAGGCCTGACAGCACACGCTGTGCTAGGGGATAATGGAGTGTGTAGTGTGGTAGAGCAGTGCAGTACAACAGATGCTCATGTGGACCAGAGTCCATGCTGATGCACACATACACACACACAGATGGTCAATCATTGACAATCTTTTTTATAATCATTAGTGTCTAAACACACAAACATCCCCTGGTTAAGTGCTAAGTAAGGCCAGTGAAAGTGTGTGTGTGTGTGTGTGAGAGAGAGAGAGAGAGAGAGAGAGAGAGAGAACAGAGCTTCTCATCTGTTTATGGTTTATTCAGTAGCTTTTAAGAAACAGGCGCTAATTCAACATGAAATATACTCCAAAAACAGCCAACACTAGAAACCTGCATATCTACCCATAAAGTGATAGTTGAACATTTTTCAGGTTTGTTTTCAGCCAGATTTCAAATGCCCATATGAACACTGAGACACAAGTTCGGTGGATTTTGTTCCAAGTTACAAACATCTTAATACAAAACTCCACCTTTTCCTTTGTGACCTTCCACTGCAGCTCAGCATAGGAACACAAAGAGGGAATGTCAAAGTCAAAATCATTACTTTGGTTTTTTTAGCTCATGCTTATGAAGCTTCATGTCATATTAATTTTTTATTTTATGTTATTTGTTTAATGCACCGAATGAGGAGCACAGTTTGGAATTACAGATTAAGTATATATAATACAAGATGCTGGCAAGCAATTCCACACAAAAAACCATCTTTATCTTTTACATTTGGTGCCCTATGTGTGTGTGTGTGTGTGTGTGTTAATGAGATTAATGATGATGTGTGTGATGTCTCTGTCACCACCATCTGCTCCTTATAGCAGACAAACACTGGCCAGCAGTTTGTGTGTGGCACTGAATTAATTTCACATCAGGGAGCACAAACGCCACCTCACTCAGTTCCTGTCCTCTCCTCCTCTGGGATTTGTCGTCCTCTCCTTTGTCACAAAGTGAAAAACATCCAGATGTGTTCAGGGTAAAGAACAACATATTAGTTAGGTGTGAACTAGTGAGTTTCAGTTGTTTTCCGCTATTTCAGCTATCAAAATATTCAGCTCTTCAAGGGCATTCATACTACCGTTCCTAAAATATTACCAATAAATATTTTTTCATTTTATAGATCTGGTAAACTCTTTAAAATCAAAAGGTTATATACACCAATTCATTGTCACTACAGTTTTGAAAATGCTGACTCTATTTGCTGCATTTTACCTTTTCTTTATTTTTTCTATTGCAGGTTCTTTGGATCTTGTCTTTTATATTTTCATGTTTCCTTTAGATCTTGTCTTAATGCCTTTTATTTTGTTATTTGTAAAGTAATTTATGTTGTTTTGAAATGAATATAAAATGAACCACAATGTTTTGCCCGTGGAGGACACCATTATGCCTGACAGCATACAGCCCACTGGAAATCTGTTAGAAGAAGAGACTAACTTCTTTCTACAAACCCATTTTTATTAAACATAATAATCACAAGCAGCCATACAAGGAAATCTTTCCTACTAACATACATGTGAAATATGGAAGACTTAACATGCCTAAAAGCAAACAAGGAAAAGTGAAATAGAAAACATGAAACTAATGAAAAGTATTTGAATTAGCTGGTCCATGCTGCGCCCTGCTGGATAACGCTGAAATGCAAACTGTTCATTCCTGTCATAACAAATGCTGCTGAACAAGAATTCTGTCTCAATTATCCAAACTACCTGATCAAAGCACAAGTGAAAAAGATGACCAGAAATTTAAACACCAACTTTCTGTGGGTACTCAGACAGGACAGAGGTTCAAAACCAAACCCAGTAACCTCTGGCACACACACACACACACACACACACACTGACCAAATATTATGTGGCTCAACACTGAATGAGTGTTGTAAATATTATTGTAGGACACAGACATGACGAAGACATAGCATGTACGTCTCTGCACACTTGCTTTATAAATCTTGAGCCCGACTTATTTGCGCATCAACAGTTTTATTGGCACCATAAAAGGGTTGAGCGGGGGGCAGGGTCCCATCACATCTGCATCTCCTTCTTGACAAGCAGTGTTCTGCTCACTGTCTGTGCCCTTGCTGTCTTGGCCTATCGGTGCCTCTGTCTGAGCAGAGGGTCCATTCCATTGCAAGTCTTTAAACATTTCTCTTGCCACTTTGGAATCAGCAGGGGATGAGAGACACTTGTACACCTGGATCAGATGTTTATGGAGTTTGTTGCAGTCCAGCAGGGAAAGCTCCTGTGGGAGAGACATCAACAGGTCCAACACTACAGCGCTCTCCATGGGGCTGAGAGGACATCTCTCATTCGGCTTATTGATGACACTTAGGTAGCGGTAGATTTTCTCAAAGTCCACTACACTGCTGACACCAAATGTTCTCGGACTATCTTTTGTGGCATATTTGCTGGTGCGACCAAACCTGGCCTGACATTCTGTGGCGGAGGCGGAGAGCAGGGGCGTGGTGTGGGTGTAGGAGCAGCCTGGGATGGCAGAACTGGATGAGGACATAGCAATATTGGGAATTTGGCTGAGACTAGTGCCAGAGGAAGAAATGGGCATGTGAAGACTAGATGAAGCAGCAATTGAAGTAGAGGTGGAGGAGTGCTGCTCTGAGGGCTGCTGTGCAGTATGGATTACAGAGCTGCCAATCACTGCTGCGGAGCTAGAACTGGGTCTGACTTGTCCTATGACTGAAGTAGCAGACTGTGGGATTGTGGAGGTGGCAGGAGGCAGAGAGGTGGAGGTGACAACAGATGAGGTTCCAGCTGTGGTAGAAGGCTGTTGCTGTGGTGCAGGGATGTTGTTGTTTGGCACTTTAACTAATTTGAATAGTGCTGGGCGTCCTTTGGCTGGGCCAGTAGTTGGTGCCGGAGTCTTGACTGTCAGGAGAGGTTGGGGTGTGCTGATGCCAAGATACTCACCTTGGACTGGCAAACCAGGCACTGGTCTAAAAGGGATGGTACGACCCACAGGCCTGTCTTTGTCACTGGGTGACCTGTAGATCTGGGGAGGGTCACAGTTCCTCAGAGTGCGAGGCTCTGTAGACGACACCAATAGCATCTGAGAGAAAGCACTGGAAATGGATTGTTCATAGGTTCCAGCCATAGTAGAAGCCATGTCTGTCCACACCTCGATAGGCTTTCTGTCATTCTTCTCTTTCCAGCGCTTCTTTTTAAGATTGAAGCTCGCACGTGTTATCACTTCGTTTTTCATATCTTCCACAAAAGAGCGGATCTCTGAAATGGATCGAGTAGGCAAGTATTTTGCCAGAAAAGCACAGTCGATATCTTCGAGGCATCCGGCGGGCCTTTGGAGTCTTTTCAAGGCACTTAGGAATTTAATCTTCTCCGCTCGCCGCCACTTACTCGGCACTTTACCTGAACGTTGCGATACCTGTTCAGGTATGAAGATACGCTCTGGTTTATTTCGGGTACGAGGAGGCGGTTTCATCTCACGTCTGCTACCACAATAACAACGTAAGTTGTGTGCTGAAACAGGAAGAACAGATACCGGAAATAGACCTTGTAACCCGGGTATAAATCTCACCCAAAAAAAAAAAAAAAAAAAAAACCCCGGGAAATCTGCTCTGTGACAGTGGCTGCTGAAGTAGCGATGGAGACATTTTTGTAAAATATATTACAGGTGTGTTTATCTTTATCTTTGTCTGTGGTTGTATGGTGTAGCCTACATATCCTCGAGCAGAAATGGACGAATACGACGAACTGTTTGAGATACAGGATGATTTCGAGAAGCGGTTCGCTGAAGACCTGGAGGCGTTGGAAGCGATGGAGGGTGAGTGAACCTGTTAACCAGCGTTAGCAAACAAGCTGAAGTTTTATATAAGGTTTCCAGTTACCAAGGGTAGTTGTTATCGTGATATTAGTTAGCTAACCTGTTAATCTCCTTACTCTTTACCTTTACTGCCTTTTGTCGTGAACGTAGGCTACAACCAAACAAACGCAGACGTGTTCGTGTGGATTCATCTTACTGGCACACACACATAAGCGATGGAGGGTGAGTGAACCGATTGATTGATTTTATTCTTTATTCGTTAACTATACACATGTTGCTGCTGTTTGCTCTTTCTGGTTAAATCCTAATGTGTCTTTTGTTGTACACGTACGTAATAGGTGAATATTAATATATTAAACCTGTAATGGAGCAATAATAATAATAATAATACACCAAACATGAAGACGGACTGTTGTTTTCGTTAATGATTAATCCCTTGATTGTTTCTTTAAACAAGTGTCATTGTTTAGTTTTTAAATTGTCAGTAAATGTTGAAAACGCCCTTTAATATTTCCCAGAACCAAATGCAATCTCTTAAAAATTACTTTTACATACACAGTGCAAATGTTTTATTGTAGTTGCATGAAAGCTTACTTCAACTGTCAAACGATTACAAAGTTGCTATTCCTGTTTTAGTGGTTGACAAAGTGGATAATCAGCTGTTCATTTTTAAGAGTAATTAGCCTATTATATTGGTGTGTTTGTGCGTTCTGTGTGTGTGTGTGTGTGTGTGTGTGTGTGTGTTTGAATGGCTCAGAGGAATTGTCTAAGCCGGGGAGATGTCAGACTCAGGATTCAGGAGACGGCAATTCGGATATAGAGCACCTGCTGGATGACCACCCCATCAGTGAGTTCACTCTGACAGTTCATGCGTGTTTTGTGCTTGTTTGGTGTTGTTATTGTAACCGTGCACCTTTAAATCGGATCTTGTCTATTCAGCTCCAAAGGCAAAGCGGCGGAAGCAGGATACAGGTGTGGTCAAGCGACTTTTCGATAATTCACAAATTGAAGACAACAAAACCCCATCAAAGGGTGATGACATCACACCCCCGTCTTCTCCAGAGCAGTATGAACCCTCTCGCACCTTTAGGTAGGACTGATTGTGATGATGGTGATGGAAAGAGCAAAGAGTCAGAGGATAGAGGGGCAGTAACATTTTGGAGTGTGGTTGTGGTGAAGTTAGTGGAAGCCATGCAGGCTTTTGTTAGATTTCTCTCCACAGAATAATTGGATTTATATCCACTGCATTTTGACATTTGTTTTGAGCACAGCACTGGGTCCCAGAGAAAACGACTAACAAAGAGTGCAGAAGGAGTTCCCTCAAAGACAAACGTATTATAAAAAATGATAGATAGGAAGTTTTTTTGCAATGCTCAATTAGTTTTTGTCAAATTGCACACAAATAAGATTTACAAAGATACAGATAACAGATATGAAGCATGCAGTACCATCATAGTATTTACTAAAAGAAGACCAGTAGCTTGTGGTGTGTGTCGGTGCACAGCAGTGCTGTAGTTTAACTGACTAGTATACACAAACTGATTACTCATTTAATTAGCAAGTCAACTGACAGACCATTAGCTGGAGAATCAGAGTAGTTTATAGTAAATGTTTTGAAGTAGAATCATGAAGCATTTGCTCATTATAACCTTTAAAACCTGGGGATTTGCTGTGTTTGTAGATCATACTGTTCTAATGTGAATGTCTTTGGGATTTTTGATTGTCAGGAAAAATTATTTAGAAACATAACTTTGATCTTTGGTGGGTTGTGACATTTTTATCCTTTACTTAAATGTCATAGATTAATCTGTTATTTGAAAGAATAATCAATAGATCAATTCAGAATGAAAATGTTTTATAGGTGCAGCCCTACAATTGACTTAAACATGTTTGTTTTCTAGGTCTAACCCTGCTCTATTGGATATTAGTGGTTTTGCTACAATCCCAGAGACGCCCGGGCGACCTTCCACAGCAGCGCCTGCTTCACTGTGTGTGCTGAAGCGACCTCCGTTAGAGGGGGAGTACATCAGTGTGACAGACTCCTCAGGGAGTCGGGTCTACCTCAGACAGAAGGACGACACGGGGACAAAGGTTAAGCTCCTCAGCATCTTTCCTCTGGGATGTTGAACATCACAGAGGAACATCACAGCCCAGATTCACCGTCAGCATGCCGACTGTCTGTCTGTCATATTTCTCTGTGTTTACCTGTGTGTGTGTGTGTGTGTGTGTGTGTGTCACCAGGTATCGGACTCGAGAATGGTACCCAACTCCCAGGGTGCACTGGGGCTGTTGGCTGTGCCTATAGGTGTGCTGAGAGAACAAGAGGCAGAGAGGGTGAGTGACCAGGACGTTGTTTGTGTTTCATTTGCCAAGTCTGTACATAACCACACTGTTAATGCTCAGTAATCACATGTACTGTACAGCAGTTAATAAACCAAAAGCTGAGTTTATCTGTAGTGAATAGATGCAAAGTGTTATATATGTGATACAAACCAATGTGAGCAAATGTATGATATGTTAATTTGAGAAACTCTAACTCTTACATTATTATTCATCTGTTTTTTTTTTTTTTTTCAAATTAAAAATATGTATTTATTCTAATACCTTAAACACTGAAGTAAATTATAGCAGTGGCCACTTTTGAAGCCAAAACAACAAACTAATTCATGCAGGAATTTACTTTTTTTTTTTTTTAGATGTATGTGTTTGTATCTATGCATTAAACATCTGGAGAGAAAGAGTGTAAAATAAAAAAATGATAATATTGCAAAAATGTGTGTTTGCCTGTTGTCATTGGTGCAATATATCATTCCTTAATCATCCATTTTAACTTTCACCCTGTATGCTAGATACACATGCATGCCTTTAATGACTCGATAAATTCACTGTACAATAACAACAGCAATGTGTAACCAACTGCACATATTTTGTGAACTATTTGTGCACAACTGATGCAGTTTTCCCTCATTCTTTGAAACCATGCAGCGTCATCAGCAGGTTGTGGAGGAATCTCAGCGCCTTACAGAGCTGCTGGCCAGGTAAGTCACCGCCTGCCTTACTCTCTCACACACATAGAAACAAATGAGGAGAGAGATATTTCCAGCATTTGCTTTTTAATTGTGTTTATGAATCTCTCTCTTTATAGCAGTGTGAACAATGTGCTTGCTGAGCCTGAAAGCAGAGAAGTTGATGAGAATGATGATCCTGAAGACAAAGTGGGCCGAAGCTCACGTCTCTGGGTGGACAGATTTTCTCCTCGACACTACACAGAGCTCCTCAGTGATGATGTAAGTAACGTTGTATTGTATGTTAGTACTTTGTTCTCTCATCTGTATTTGAAACATGGAGGCATTTATTGCTTTATTCTTAATTTGCAGTTTTTTTTGTGAGGTGAGTAGGTGGGAGATGGTTCTCTACCACCCCATTTACTGAAATAGCATAATTACCGGTATTCATGTCTACCTGTTATCGTGTACCCACAAGATAGTAGCTTGTATGCATAACAAAGACAGCTTTCGGGACTCCAGAGGCTCCGCAGAATCCAGCCTTATGGAAAACAAAACAGCTTGAGTATCTGACACCAGTTTTATGTGACCTTTTATTTACAGTTTACCAACCGCTGTCTGCTCAAGTGGTTGAAACTTTGGGACACTGCTGTGTTTGGAAGAGAGAAGAAGTCCCACCCTGCCCGGTCTGACAGGCAGGCTCTCAACAAGAACTCATCCAAACTTAATCACAAGAATCAGAATCCAAGTCGCTTCAAGAGCAAAATTGAGATGACAGAGGAGCTGCTGGAGGCCGAACTGGATCAGTACAAAAGACCCAAATTCAAGGTTGAACATCTTCATACTCGTAACAGTACAATTCAAGTACAATGACCTTTAGTTGTTATAAAAGACAGAATTTGTTTTTATTCTTCTCTAGGTGGCGCTGTTGTCTGGTCCTCCAGGTTTGGGGAAGACCACCCTGGCTCATGTTATAGCAAAGCATGCTGGATACAATGTGGTGGAAATCAATGCCAGGTTAGACTAGCCAAATCAAAACTAACCTGACTATATATCTGCTGGAATCTTCCTGTCAAGACTTAGTGGTAGTGTTGATGTGTTTGCAGTGATGACCGCAGTGCAGAAGTGTTCCAGAAACGCATCGACACAGCAACACAGATGAAGTCAGTTTTGGGAGCCAACGAGAAACCAAACTGTCTCATCATTGATGAGATTGACGGAGCCCCCGTGGTACATTCTCATTCTGAATGAGTAAAAATGTGCAAAATAATCGCGAATGCTCCCTATTTCTGCATTTTGTGTTTTTATTCTTCATCTGTGGTGTTGGACAGGCTGCCATCAACATTCTGTTAGCAGTTCTGAACAGGAAAGATGGACATGGCGGAGAGGGTGGGACAGAGACTGCGAAGAAGAAGAAGAGGAAGGAGCCCATCCTGCTTCGACCAATCATCTGCATCTGTAATGACCTGTAAGAGAAACAGTTTTTTGTTACATCTTTGTAGACCGCTACCTCCTTCATTTTTAGCCTCTAGAGGGTCTAGTGAGACTCGAAACAAACTGACACCATAAGCTGCTCCTAATTGCTGTTTGCTGCTCCCGTCACATCCTGTTTCCTAGCAACGATGTAAGCTATGGATGCGTGGTTGTAACAAACTGTACACAATGCAGCTGCCAGTCTGAAGCTAGCGTTGGCTGACTAGCAAGTACATTTGGAAATCCAGTATTGTGCTCTGGTTACTGCTAGTGTGACAACACACTGATGTTAAGCTCGTATCAGTCTGAAATTAAAATGATATTAATTCATCATGAAGGTACTCATGCCCATGCTAAGTCGCTAATGTTACCAAAACTAACACATTAGTTTTAGATGCTAATGGGAATAGTACAGCAGAGAGACACCATGCCCTGTCTCGTTTTCACTTGATTTGTCTAAAAGCTTAATTAATGCACGTTTGAATATGTAAATGATATCTATATTGTGTTCATTTTATTTCTACCTTGGCAGCCTTTCCCTGATGACCTCTTTCTTTTTAGTTATGTTCCAGCTCTCAGGCCTCTCAGGCAACAGGCCTTCCTCCTGGCTTTCCCTCAGACCCATCCTTCCCGCCTCGCACAGAGACTGGCAGAGGTCGGCACTTGCATGTAAACACACACACTCGTACAAACAAACATAGACTGTATAAACACACCACCACTGCATTGTGTGCAAATTATGTTGAGTTTTTGTTTGCAGATCTCTCGTCAGCAGGGGATGAAGGCAGACACAGGCAGTCTGATGTCGCTGTGCGAGAAGACAGACAATGACATTAGGTCTTGTATTAACACACTACAGGTGGGTGGCATCACTGTGAAGGGGGGTCTGCATGTTGATCAGCCTCCTTTTATTGGCAGTGTATGTGTAGTTGTGTTAAATAACATATAAATGTGTGTATTTCTCTATATAGTTCCTCCATGGTCATGGCTGCAAGCAGCTGGACGCCAAGACAGTCCAGTGTGTCTCTGTGGGACAAAAGGACCAGAACAAAGGCTTGTTCCATCTGTGGCAGGAGATCTTCCAGTTATCACGTGTAAAACGGTACAGTAAAAAAAAAACGGTGCATAGGTTATTACACCACAAATCAAAAAAGCCATCTAGGAAGCCTTGTTCTTCTTTCTGGACTGACATTTACTAGATGTTGACTAATCATCCTAATTTGCTTTTTCAGGAAGCGTACTGGTGAGGGGTTAGAGGACGCTCCAGGTTCAGGAGGTGGAGCTCAGAGATTCCAGCACATTCTACACTTGGCTTCATCTAGTGGAGTACCTGAGAAGGTTTCTCAGGTAATACACACCTTTGTTTCCGGAGGTCTCAATTTAAAGTAAATAAACCTATGAAGTATATTTGTCGCAGCAGCACCTGTCTGGTAAGACGGCATAGAAGCTTCTGGTCTAATGCTCACCTACACTGTGGCCACTAGCACAGCACCCACAAACCTGAATTCCTTCATTCAGGTGCTTGAGCCTTCTTGTATTAACAGGTCCTATTGTCACTGTGAGGCAGGAAATCTCATCCAGACATCTCCTGAGGTGCAGTGAGTTGGTAACCTTGCTTAAGTCAGCAGAATTCTTTTCTTTTCGGAAGTCACTTGAAGACCTGCCTCTTCTGAGAGTACTAGCCTACCTAAAATGAACTAAAAAGGCTGGTGAATGTAGAAGTGGGTGTCGAGGCATGATTTATGAAAGTTTCTCCTTGATCTACTGTGGCTTGCATTGTACCTTATTTGTAGGTTATCTGCCAAAATAAAAATAACAAATCGTGGCTTGTGAAATACTACATTGTGATGTGTAACATCTCTTGTCCTCAGGGTCTCTATGATAATTATCTGTCCATGCGTGTGAGGGACCCCAACATGCAGAGTGTGTGCGAGGCTCTGGATTGGCTGTCGTTCTCAGACAGCCTGACCCAAGTGATGCTGCACGGCCAGAACTTCTCTCTGATGAAATACCTGCCCTTCCTGTCTGTCACATTCCACTTCCTGTTCGCCAACACGCATGTTCCCCGCATCAGCTATCCTCACAGCCAGCACGAGGTACCCCTCAACTGCATGCACCATTATGTAGCAGTATGACACATCAGAAAACATTGAACAGTACATTATATTGAATGATATGGTGCCAAATGAAACACAATAGATTTAAAATAAAGAACCAACACATTATAAAATGTTTGAGGCAGGAAAGTCTATACAAGTCCATAAATAACCACTGAGCCATGGATGTCTTCTCTAGGCCTCCTCCCGGCTTCTCAGCAGCAGGAACGCTTTGTCCACCATGTTGAGTGATATCCCAGCATGCATCAGAACGAGGATCAGCCAGCTCAGCCTGACCCTTGACATTCTCACACTGCTTCTCGACATCATCTGTCCCAAACTAAGGCCTGTATGTAAAAGCATATACAGTATACCTGTGTGTAATGGTTTGACTGATACTGTCACTGAAGTGATTCTGAGCCCAGATACTTGTATGGTGTATTTCTTTTACTGACCTGAATAGTATAAGTGGGACGACGGGTCATCAAACTCAGGCAGCATAGCTAAAGAGACTAAAGCGTGGTGTGCAGGTAACCAAAGTATGATGCCTTTCAAGTTTGATAGACTTGTACAGAGCTGCAGTGATTAGTCGATTGTTGATTTATTGGGGACCAGAAATCAGTTAATTGCTTTAGTCATTCTTTAATAAAAAATGGGAAATATCCCCGGTATCCAGCTTCACAAATATGAGGGTTTGATGCTGCTCTTTGTTATACCAAGAACGTCACCTTACACTGTGGTAAACTGTAGCAGCCATTTTTCACTGTTTTCTAATATATTAATTGAGAAGTTAATCTGCATATTAAATTATTATGAAAATAACCATTAGTTGCTGCTATACACCAAGGCTCAGCTTCACTGAGTGTCACTCATAAAATTAAAAATAGGGAAAAATAGGGACATGAATAAGTGGATTGGTTGTAATGTCAGTGGCTGTGGTTGGTCTTAAACCCTGGGTTTCTTCCAGGTGAATCCACAGCTGTTTAGCAGCAGAGAGAAGGAGCAGATGTGTGAGCTGATCAACACCATGCTGGCCTACAACCTCTCCTACAGGCAGGACCGCACACCAGAGGGACAGTACACATACGTCCTGGAGCCGTGAGTGTACACACACACACACACACACACACAGTTGCATTCCTCTGCACACTGCATGCAAACACATGCGTTTCTTTGGCATTGAAGGTCACTGCTCTTGTCCACACTGTGGTTCTCTTCATGAAGGATTAGAGGATAATCCCCTTAATACCTGCTGTGTGTGATGGTGGTGGTGTCAGAGCAGGGTAGCAAACTGCAGTCTTACCGGTGAGGCACAGGTGAAAGGATGGATAGGTTGTTGGGGGAGTGAAATTAGAACCAAGGTGGTGTTGAGAAAGCAAGGAGACCTTTGAAAATAAGGAAGAATGTTCAAATAAAACACAAAGACTGAAAGGAACGAGAAAAACTGAGAACATTCAGGACTGCGCTGTAACTAATCTCAGTCATGCCAGCCCAGGTTGAGGAGCAGCGGCATGTCCGGGGGGGCTCCTTCATGCAGGCTCGCTGTGATGAGGTGCTGGTCACCAACGACTGGGGCCTTCCTCTAGTCATCGCTCTACTGCTGCTGCTTGTGGTCTACACCTTCCTGTACCTGCCCTCTCTAGCTCGCCACAACACCACTCTCTGATGCCTCATGGATGAAGAGTTGGAGCACAGACGTGAACTTAAACATCTACAACCAGCCCTAGAAGGATTATTTGATTGGACTGCTGCTTGTCAGACACCTGTTGATTGGCTAAACTCTGGCAGAGTCATTAATGTTAAGGTGGTTTTGGAGGCCATGAGAGGAAAAAGAGCAGGACAGATGAAGATCGATGTCTAATCTGTCTTTTTTTTTTTTTTTTTTTGAGTCACATGATCTCCAGAAATGTGAAGCTTTGTGTGCTTTATTGTTGAACTTTTACATCTGGTTTGTTGTGCAATATTCTCGGTGCTTTGACAGTATGTGAATACCTTTCCTCCGTGTACTAGCCTCATATCCAAGAACAAATATGAAGGTGGTTTAGAGCTGAATTGACTCAACCTTTGATTGAATTGAATAATCTTTTTTTTTAAACAAAAGGCTAAAAATTCTCTGGTTCCAGCTTTTCATGTGAATATTTGCTGCTTTCTTTCTTCTGGGATAATAAATGAACTACATTTGGATTTGGGACAAAACAAGTAGTTTGACTAAAACAAATTCAAGTAAAATTATGTTGAGTTAATTTTACCCGAGTCACTGAAGTTTGTGAATTGTCCATAACTTGTTGTAAAAGATGGATTCAGGTGCTGCAGATCAGAGACACTGCCTGTGCTCAGACCTGTAGATGTTAAACAGATAAACCCATTTGTCCAAAGTCAGACGACTTAACTTTAGCTGCACAGTGTTGAGTGGAGGAATCCAAATGTTTTGGTGAAAACAGGACTGATATTTTATAGTGCTGACTTCAAATAAAAAGCTACCACTCACATAGAGTGGAATTAATTAATTTAAGTTGCATTTAGTTTCCATCAGGCATTGAGTGCAAGTTTACTCACACGTACTCGGTGTGTGATGGATAGAGATGGAGATCAACAGTAAGAGGATTAAGGTTTTAGAGAATGACAGTTTCAGGGTTTTATTATTTAATATTAATAATAATTTCTGTATTTTATGGAAAACATAAACCATGGCACAACAAGTGGAAGTGCTGTTTTTTTTTGTTATGCCGTTGGTCATCCAACAGGGTTTACCTCAATGTCATTGTCTGGGACATCAATGTGTTTGTATAAACTATGTGTGTCTCTCATTTGTGTAGAGGTATTTACTTAGTTTGTGTTTGCAGGTGTGTTGAGGAGGTGGTGAGGTTCCCAGGCCTGCCTCCGCGTCGCCAGCTGACATATCAGGCCAAACAAACTATCAGCAGAGAGATGGAGCAGGAGAGGATGAGGAGGGCTGAGCAACTGATGCTGCAACGAAACCCAGTGGCGGTGAGGTTTCAAATACACGTTTTATCCAAGAGACTGTGGGTTTGTTATCTATAGTAGAACCTGTAGACAATTGGGCCAGTGTGTGTGTGTGTGTGTGTGTGTGTAATCTCCTGTATGTCTACTGCAGAAAGAGGAAGAAAAAAAGAGTGTCAGACCTAAACCAACGAGGAACCATCAGCAGAGGCTGGAGAACATTGTCAAACAGACCACAGTGGAGAGCAGGGTGAGGCACACAAGCACTCACTTGTTTGTGTCACATAGACATGTCAGGACACAGTAATAGGCCATGACAAAGAAAGCGAAACACACACAGTTGTACTGAGCAAACCAAATACTCCAGTTTATTTAGAACAATAGTAACAACATATACTTGCTTGGTGTGTGAAATGGTCCATCAGTAGGTCGGTGGTGCACAAGATGGAATTTTTCTGCAGTGTTTTCAAAGTACTCCTGCTTCTTTGTAAATTACTACAAGGTCTTTATACACTGGCCATTTAGATAGTGTTTTTTTTTTTTTTTATTAATCCCCAAGAGGAAATTCTGTGTCTGCCTTCTACTGGATGACTGACGGATACCACCTCTCAAGGCTGGGAAGGTAGCGACAGCACATTTTCCTACCAGTGCCGAGCTCCCCCCAGTTGTATGTGTTAGTTAGTGCCTGTAGGTGGAGCCAGAGAGGAGCTACAGTCCTCTGCATTGAACATCAGAGCCTCTCTGATGGAGCTGAATAGTACAGTAGTAGAGTGATGGAGAATGAGCCTCTAGCGGGCAGAAATGAGGACAATGAGAAGCCACTGGGTCACAGTCCCTAATGGGAAAACTTGGAAACTGGGCTAATGAGAGAGTGTATGATTGTTCAGCGTTACTGACCTTGTTATTTAGGACAGTGTTTTAGAAATTTGCTGCTGAACTTCATCCTCTCATCACTCTGTGTCCTGCAGCCAGAGCTGGATTTCTTTGGTCGAGCTGTGGCCCCAAAACCTCAGAGAGTGCAGCCGTCTACAGACACAGGTACTGTGAGACTGTGCTCAGTGTGACTTCATTTGTCCAAACCCTTTGAGAACACAGGCTGATTGGGGAAAAATGCCTCAAGGCACATTAGGTCCAGACTCAGAGGTGCGTTATGTAATACTGCTAATTTAGTGCCGCTGTGGCAGACGGCAGGCAGGAGACCTGGACTGTCGGCAGCGCCGCCACCTGCATTTACCCGCCATAATGTTAGTCACATCAAACTTCTATCTCCAAAAAAGGACATGATTTACAATCTCCTCCCCATCTATAGATGCTCGCCATTAGAAAAAGCCACCTTAAGATTCTATATTGATAAATTAAAGTGTATTATACGATCTTAATTAGGGTCCTATAGTTACGAGAGCTCCAGGTTTGGAGAGTAGTGATGGGTTTGGCCTGCCAGCAGCTTTGTGTCATTGAAAATAGATGTAACTGTTCAAATGCAGTGCAGCGCCACATCAAATGTACAAAAAAACTGAGAACTGTGTAACTTGTTCTTCCTCCCAACATCACAACCTGCTGTAATTGTTTTAACAGTGGTGTCTTCACTTGTGAACGTGGTTTTGAATTGTGTACAGCTTTGAGAAAACATGTCACTGTTCCTCTGTGATGTCTTATCCAGTAATAGATGCTCACTGCTAATAGATGCACTAAAGATGGTTTCCTCTGTCCACAGGAGAGAAGTGTGCAGTTCTCGCTATTGGAACGGCAGTGGGCAACAGTGACGTGTGGTTCCGCTTCAACGAGGGTATGTCCAACGCTGTCAGACGAAATGTCTACATCAGAGAGCTACTATAACACACACACGTGCATAACTGCCTCAATCTCAGCCGTTTCTTTTACCTGTTGTACTGTATGTAAACATCTGAATCAAGTTGTTAAATTCAAAACTTTCTTTATTTTGATTGAAAGTTTAAAGAGCCAATAAAAACAAGTTGTTGAACACTTCTCTGCACTCATCAAGCAAACTTCTAGAAAGCTACTCGGAGCTGTACACTGACACACACACACACACACACACACACACGGGTGTCTTCACATAAATTAACAGCATTCAGTAGTCACCAAATAAATAAACATGATGATAGCAATAAGGTGTGTGTGTGTGTGTGTGTGTGTGTGTGAATGAGTGATGTATTGCAGCATGACAGTGTGCAGATTCTTTAGTTTATATGCATCCGTTATTAGAGGATCACACACTTTCCCTTCTCCACCCAGGGGTTGGCTCGCATCAGCTCAGGGTTCAGGAACGGATCCTCACAAACGCAGCCCTCGATCCACTTCACCAGCCTGTAAAAACACACTGCCAGTCAGAACCTGATAGTGCACGTAGCCTTGTTTTTGTATACTTGTGGGGACCCAAAACCGGGAGCCCACTAGCATTTTGCGGACTCGCCTTCCTTGTAGGGACCAGATGCTCTTCTCAAAAAAGTTAATTACTTAACTGTAGTGAGACAATTTGGTTTAAGGGTTAGGTTGAAGTTAGGATAAGAGTTCTGATTCTGATAAGGGCCACTTAAAAAAATAAAATAAAATTAGTTCTGACTTTTCTCAGAATTTTGACTTTTAACTTTTTAAAAAGTCAGAATTTTTTTTGTGTGTGGCCCAAATCCTCTTCTGTAAATCCAGAACTTCTCTGCTCATACTGAATGTTTAAACAGAACGGTTGCATCCATTAACATTTCCAGTATATTCAGACAAGATGGCTGCATATTGAGTTGATAAACAGAGCAGCAGCTTTACTTTTAGCCATTTTACTTGGAGCAGCTGAAGAACAGCGACAGACTCCTGCCAGTATTTCTCCTATCGCTGTCAGTCAAAGTACCGTTCAGATGAGAACGTGTTACTGCCAGAGCGCGATTGGCCTCGTCTCAACTGATTCTGTCCACAAAATGTGATGAGTCCTCTGTGTGTCATGTTGTTTTCCTTGTACTTGTGCAAACGCACTGGAGTGACTTTTTTAGTAACTGTGGGAAATGAGGCCGTGGACTTGCTCACACTGGAAACAGCCGACCAAAGTTCAATTGGAAAAAAAAAAATACATCACTGTAAATTCCCCCTAAGTGACAAGAACAAGGAGTGTGTGTAGTACTTACTCAGTAACAGTGACGGAGGCTTTCTCTCTGTTAATCGCCAGCTGCTGCTGAAGTGTTTCCACTTCTTTCTTCATCTGTGGGAGGTCCAACTCCTCCATGGCGCTACTGCTTTTGACACACACACACAGAAAAGCATACAGAGATTAAAAAACAAAGCATTTTGAGCACACTACATGGCTACAGCTCAGATGTAGCGGTTATCACATTGAAACTTGGGCAGACATCAAACATTTTGCCCCTCAGTTCTGCCGTCACGCTGCGTTAATGTCTTGTAGTTTCTTTTGTGTAAATAAAAAAACAGTTGTCATAGTAGATGTATTCATTTTTAGTTTTGGACAGATGAGAATAGCACAGCAACTGTTTTGTGCTTTGTCTACTTGTAGCCCCTCATCACTGCAGAAAAAAAGCAGCTCAGAGGAAGGTCTGAAAGCTGTAAAGGGTTTTCTTACTTCCCGCTTCCTCTCCTGTTTATCATCTCACGGCCTATCAGATGGGCCTTATGACCCCTCTGGGGTCCGAGCCTTGGGGTGGGGACCCACCTTCCCTGGGGGGGGGGGGGGAACTAAACCCTTGTGACGTCCACATGGTCACATTTAAGCTTCACAGAACTGCAGAGGAAGTCATGTGTCTCCATACTGAAACAGTTCCTGTTGATCCACTCGCTGAGATCATCTTAGCTTCTAAAGTAAATGTACTGGCTGTTTTACTGCAACACTGATAAAGTACAACTAACTAAAGTGACTATCTGTGCTAGGTAGGATTTGGATGCTTTTAAATGCACAACTTTCTTCTAAAAGTATTTCTACACTGGTATTACCAGTGGTGGAAAGTAGCCCAGGTTTTACTCAAGTACAGTTTTGAGGTAGCTGTACTTTGAGTATTTTGTATGGGACGACTGGTTCAGTGGGTAGAGTGGTTGTCTCCCAGTTCATCTGATAACTCTACTCTTCAAATCAGATTAATAAAACAGAAGACAGATCATCAGGCTTCACTGATCGGTGGTGGAAAAGGAACAAGCTACCCAGTGGTACCTCAAGTTCTAAACAGGTTGTACAATGTAGTTAACATTAGCTCCACCTTTACCAGCAGCAACATTAAAAACACAATACAACGATTTCATTATGTGAAATGTGCCATTCTGTGCATTAAGCACATTTTGATAATACTTTTGTACATTTTGAAGGCAGGACTTTTATTTTATTTTATTTATTAAGCATTTCATCTGAGTACTTCTTCCACCACTTGTCAGATAAATGTAGTGGGGTAAAAAGTGCAATAGCTTCACCCACTTTCCCTTCCCCTGCCCCTCCCTGCCTCAGGCCACACTGAGGGCCCAGATGAGAGTTCATGGATCAGTTCAGTCCTCCCCCTCCTCTTCATCTTTTTAATGGATCTAAGTAGGTCGGCTGCCTGGTGCCTGCTTCACCAGCATCCATCCTGCTGTGTCCCCAGCAGCCCTCAGTCCCATGAAAAGCCCTTCATCATTCAATATGTTACGGTGACACCAGCCTCCAACTCAGTCAGGGACGTGGATGCTGAGAACCGATTTACAGTAGACAAGTTGCGTTTGACATAAACACTGACATCACAGATGTCACTGTGCACTTAAAGCGTAACAACGGCGATACATCGTGACTAAACGCCCACATAAATAGTTGCTCTTACCGTCGGGCCTACCGGGCAGTAGCGCCGGTCGAGTTTCTGTGCAGGCGAGTAATGGAAGAAGCCGACTGGGCTTTAACGGCAAGAATAACCGGTCGGTGGCGTTTCCTCGTCAGTGGAGTCCGGCTCGAGTGCAGGAGGAAGAGGATGATGAGGAGGCTGTGTGTCGGCTGTCTGCGGCGCAGGGCACTCCCCTGCGCTCCTCCCTGGTAGCGACTGGATGCGAGATGCGCAAGGGCGGAGGAAAGGAGCCTCACCGCCTGGTTTGACAGTCAAACGAGGGCTGGAGCCGAGGACGCTAGGGAAATGTGGACGCGCTTGAGCCCGAGCAGAGCAGGAAACACGCAAATGAGGACGCGCTCCCCAGGGAAAACAAGCCGGGATTTAATTTGTTTTTCACATGACCAGAGATGATGTCAGATGGCTCAGATCTGTCTTTTAACAGTAGCTTATCTGTTGGGAAACTTTCACGTCTTATGATTGAATGAAGGACACTTTATTATAGATTAAAGGTCCAAGTTCAACAAACTAAACTAAAATAAAATAAAAATGATTATACCGTATTTGTTTTATTAATCTGATTGTGAAAAGTACCCTGATATTACATAAATGTTCTGGGATAAAACTACAATATTTGCCTCTGAATGCAGTGAAGTCAAAGTACAGTATGAAGTACAAGAAAAATACTCAAGTTAAAGACATATACCTCAAAGCTGTAGTTACTTGAGTAAATGTATTTAAGTTACTTTCTACCACTGCTACTTGGTTTCTGAGTGTGTCACAGGTGTGAAACCTCCGATTTTTCTCCAGTTCTTTGGGACCACGCCACCAATTTAAAAGGCATCATCTTTGATCCAAATGTCAACAAATGGGTCAAAATACAAAACTGAACCCAATTCCTTTTAAATACCAGGGCTAAGATGCCTAGATTGCCGTTATTGTGCTATGAAACTGGTTTTACTGGTGATGTGGGAAAAGGCTTTGATTCCAATTGTGACCATTTGATGAAATGGGTTAATTCTTATATACAACTCTTATGTGAATATGCATCAAGTTTATGGGATCAGAAGTCACAGGTTGTGACTGCTGTGTTCATCAATCATGTATGAGGGACGACTGGACCGTCAACGTGCACGGGAAGAAAACCTTTGTTTACCTTGAATCAGCTTTATTGGCCAGGTGTGTTGGACACGCAATGAATTTGGTTTGGCACCACAAAGACATGCAATTTGTTTATTAGTTAGGGTACAGCTGAATTAGCACCTCCATTTAACAGTCTGAACACAAACTGAACATTATCAGCTTCCTGGAGGAAGTTTCAATACAGGACTGTTGTATTAGGTTGAAGTCTCTAATCCAACCATGTCACACTGCATCTCTGAGCTCAGCACCATCTGAAATGTGACTTCCTTATGGGTTGGATCTTTGTCCAGCCACCTTCCATGTCTTCAGTCTCTCTCCTTTCACTGTCCAGGGTCCACTGAGAAAGGAAAAGTGGATAATCTGAGACAATAACAAGCACCTCACATGCTTTCAATGCTCTTAACGCAGCCTCTGATTAGGTTTAGAATCACAAGCTGGGGTCCAGCTCTCAGAGAAGGTGTCAGAAAAGTCCATTTGTCATCACAGGCTAAAGATGTTTCAAATTCCAACATTACACAGACTCACCAGCTCAGCTGGAACAGTGCGGTCTCTGGTTCCTTATCCAGCTAGCTCTGCTCATTTTTACCTGCAAAGGGGTTTCAAATAGTGAAACCAAGTTAGGAAACAGACAATTGTGAGAGTGAAAACTGCAATAATATACTGATCACAGAGCCTCAGAATTAAGTTGGAATCAGGAGCTGCAGTCCAGCTCTCATAGTAGGTGTCAGAAAAGTTTATTTAGTTTGTCATCACTGGCTGAAAGAACTTCAAAATGCCTGTTTTCGGACTCACCAGCTCTCCTGCCCAACCAGGTCCCACTGAGCTTCGATCTCAGCACCACCTCATCGTCCTCGGAGGCTTAAGTCAGCGGCCTCCCCTCTGCCACCTGGAGCAGCTTCAATGGATCCGAGACGAGCACGGAGACTTCAACCAAGCTGAACGCACAATTGCAAATTTACATGCATCAAACTTGTCTGATACACAGACTAATAAGCAGGGAACTTAAGGTCATTTACAGAATTCTATTTTAGTTCCTAAATGTTAAGGCACCCAATACTAGGTGAGAGAAACAGTATTTCGATTTTCTGTATGTCCTGCACATATGGTGAACTGACAATACAATCCTTGGTGAATCGACAATAAAATCCTTGAACCTTGAAGGTGGCTAGGGCCACTGAACGCAGTGTAGAGATTCTGACTTTTTCCCTTCGAATTCTGACTTTAATCTCAGAATTAGAACTATATTTAGATTAAACTAAAATCAGAAGGAACGCTAACTTAGTGCTACTTTGACTTCAGATGCAAACTGTTCTTCTGCCACCATTTGTCCTGCAGCTCCCACGTGTTGCTGATCACACCGGCATGGCTGCACCCTAAAGTGATCATACTCACTTGCATATCTCCTCTCCGAGCGACCTGTTTGGCTTCAATCAATCAAAACTCGGTAACAGAAAAATAGTAGGTCTCAGATCCTGTTTGCTGTCATGGTGTAACGTTTGGAGAGCAAACTGGTAAATGCAGATACACTCCATGTCTCCTACCGTTGCTGTGAATGAAAGACCGCCTGCGCCCGAAGTGACGAACATATACGTCTTTGGTCCAACGGAAGGAGGAAGTCCCGCCCCTTTCTGTGCTAGCCAGTAGATTCTTAGTAGCTTCGTTCGTCCGATTTTCCGAAAAGCTGAGAAAAATATGTGATTTTCTGGCTATTTTTATGCTTATTTGGCCTCTTTTAAATTACTGTTATCTACGACGCTACCACGTTTTAGCAACCCCAAATCAACAACAATCTTGTTAGCTTTTAGCAAAATCTCCCATGAATCTTAGACGCTGAAGGGCCGGCAAAGCCTTTTGGGAAATGTAGTTTAATTCAGGGTGGTCGCTACCAAATAATACCAGAGCCAGGATATTTACATATAGGCTATTAATATTAATACATTTTATTGTGATAAGCAGCCAGTGTGCTAGAGAACAGGATGGGTAAATGCTTAGACTACTTTAAAGCTCAATTGCTTTAAAAATAATACACTGCTCATACCTTCTTTTTCTCCCATGAACATCTAACTTGCCATTATGCATTATTTGAATTCTGTCTTGTTTTGTATGCATCTTTCTTTTCTTTTCTTTTAACATTACTACTTTTTTGTTGCTTTCACTGTTTGACATTCACATTCCTTATCATTATTTCTATATGTTTGTCTTCACAATCATGCTTACCTGTTTAGTTGTACACATGAACAGTTGATTTGTTCCTATTTTGTAATTTAAAATATAAATGAGCTTCTTCTGAATGTTTTAATTATAACCAAATAATTTGTACATATGAACCATGTATTTTTTAGTGACCATTTTAATCATATACACATTTACAGTATTTACAGTATATGAATTCTCTGAACTAAAGACGATCATCGCGTACATGCACACAACAGCAGTAGATGCAAATATTGCAGCTGTTTCAAAAGGGTCACACATCTGGACCATGACCCAACTTCACTAAAGCCAATTTGGCTGCATGGGAGCAAATCCCTGCATCTAATATACTGTCAAAAACTTTCCCAGAATAATGCAGTTTTATAGCAGCAGGTTAAAGTGAGATGATTTGGATGGAAATGTTCAATAATTACATATGAATGAAATGAAAGCTGTACAGTTGTTTTTGTGTTATGTCATTCACATACTGTAATTCTAGGGTTGCTAGAGAGGAAGCGTGTATAAATTGTTTCTGAGAATACCTTAATTAGCAGATAACATATAAAGGAACTACACTTAAAGAGTCATGTAAGGTTAAATTTATACATTTATTCTGATCACAGCTGTACAGGAATCGTCACAGCAGAAATACAACCTAAACCCAACCATTGCACAACAGCCATCAAACACATCCAGAGCTCAACCATAAATGTACAGGCTCAATCAGCTCACCTTAATTTAATGTCTGTAATTGTTGTCATTATTATTCACGTAGAACCATCTGTCTCTCAAATATATCTTTGTTTTCAAAGAGCATAAAAATACAAGTGACGTCTTTGTTGGGATGAACACTGATAGTTGATCCACTGTCTGGCCTAGAGGGTGGGACCACTGAAAACTGGGGAGCCAAGGAGGAGCGGAACCAATTTACTATAGCTTACAAGGCGGGGTGGGGGGGTAATATGAGCTCACACAGTGGGTACAAGAGGCCTGCAGACAGGACAGCTGATGTCAGGGATCATACAGAACTCACAACAAACACACAAGGAGAGAGGGTATGTAAGGGAATGGAGAAAACCATGAAACATTCTGAAGGGTAAAACAAGGAAAATGAGAGAAATAAACGATTTAGAATATGTGAAAGAACTCAACCAAGGCACAGAGAAATAACGATTTAACAGACACAGAGGGAGATAAAAAGAGGGGGGACAAGATGGATGGTGAGCAGATTAGCGGCAGTCTCACAAACCAACACTAGGGGGCGTTCTAACAGCTCAAATACCCAGGTATATTATAAACTCTATGTATGTATACTGGATATACTATATAAAGCATTGAAATATAGGATTATCTTTTAAAAACACTGTTCACTGCAGCAGGACAAAGGGATACACTGTGAGAGTGTGCTTGTTTACATGTGACTTTGCATGTGAATGTGTGTAACATCAGTCTTTGTGACGTGTAAGTGTAGAGTCATCTCCCAGCAAACCTCCACAGATGGAGCTAAACACCAACAAAACAAAACACCAGCGAGATTAAAACCATTGTACTGTGCATTTATGTGTCTGTGTGTGTTTGTGTGTGAGTGTCTCAAAATTCATGGACGCACATCTATATCTGATCATTAGAATAACTACTGTACGAGTGGAAGGACACTGACATGAGCATCAGCAGGGACTACACACACTCGTAACGACAACAGCTGCAATAATAACAACAACAGCAGCGACAACAACATGAACAGAGATGACACACAAGTCAGAAAGCCCAGCTAACCACAGTCCTCCACTCATACAGAAGAGAAATACAGGCTACAATTCATCTGGAAAAATGCATCCTTTTGACATCGCAGGAATGAGAGACTCGGAAAGCAGCCTGTCTTTCCATGTGCTTTTAAAAATTCTCTCCACCGTCTAATCTCTATGCATCTTATCTATCTAGCTATCTATCTATTTCTCTATATCTCTATCTGCCTGCCAGTCAGTTTATGTGCTTATTTTTGCAAGCAATATGCTTATCTGTCTGTCTCCCTGTCTGACTGATCTCGATTCTCTGTCCTAGCCAGAGTCTGTAGAGATAAAAGCATGAGGAAAATGATTGTGCTTCTCGGTCCACACAGCCATCTGAGGCCGGGAGAGGGCGACTTGCTGGACTGCAGAGGTCAGAGGTTGTGTGGGAGCAGCCTCCTCGTGTCGGGAGGCGTACTAGAACTACCAGATGAAGAGGACTTCCTCCTCAGCATACTGTACAAGGCTACATGAGAAGCGCTCACGTAGGAGGGACACACTCTCAGAGTGCCAGCATCGAGCCTTGGGAGAATTTTCTTTGAACACCTACACATGATGGGGGAGAGGGAGAGGACTTGTTGGAAATGAGACGTGGGCAGGAGATCAGTCGAGCATCGCATCCAGCTGGTCTGCTAAGTCGTCAAACATGCTGCCGATGTCGTCCAAGATAGAGACTGTTGTCTTTTTGCTGGAAACAGAGCTGGAGATGGACAGCACAAAACAGGAAGAGCTTAGATGATAATGATATAAACAGCACAGTCACGGTAGATTACACAAGTGGACGTGCAGAGTGTGAACTGGTTTTGGAAGCTCACTGTTCATAAACACTTTAAAGCTTTCTTTTAATTATAAAACCAGTGTTTCTCAGCATGTATACACAGCAATCTCTTGCATGACTTAACTTTTTAAACCTGCAATAACAAGAGCAGAAACTAGGGTCAATAATACACAATTAAATGTGCCAAAGAATGGGGGAGTATTCATATGGAAGCTCACCTGATGATTAAGGTTGTAAATACTCACTCATTTTGTGCATCCTCCTCATGGATTTTATGCTCTACAGCCTGGAGAGCTGCAGCTAAGGAGGCACCGGTCTCCTCCAAGCAATGCTGCACCCCTGCCTCCTGCTTCACTTCCTCCACCCGACTCTCCACTTTTTCTTTCATGCCTTTCTTCCCAGAGGGCTTCTTCTCCATTTCCCTCAGACTCTCATCCACTACTTTTTTCCTCTCCACCTCCTGCTCTTTGTGCCTCTTGTGTTCCCCCCCTCTCCTCTGTTCCTCTTCCTCTCTCCTCCTGTCCTCTTCCTCCTCCGCCTCCGATGGAGAGACCAGAGACGGGAGAGCGGGGAGGTTTGACCGGGTGTGGTGAAGGGGTGGAGGGACTCTGGGCTGGAGAGGGGGATGTAAGAGGGAGTCCCGGAGAGAGTGCGGGAGCAGAAGGGGTGTCAGGAGCTGGAAGAGGAGCGGCAGTGTGCGGAGAGGAGGGTCTGGGAGCAGGGGTGGGGCTGGTAGCAGCAAGGCTTAGGTTCGTGGTAGCTACTATTGTGTTGCCTGGTTTAGGCACTGTTGGAGGCCCACGTGGTTTGGGGGATACAGGAGGAGGGACACGCTTCAGCTCTGGTCAGGGAGAGTCAGAGAAAACGCTATCAGTTGATATCACAAGTAAACATCCACACACAGCGGCTTCAGAAGGTATTGACCTGTGATTTAATTTTAAATTGATTAAATTTGGCCTATCAGTGTAATCCATAGTGACAAAGAACAGTCATTTCATAGTATAATCACATCAAAAATCTACACTTAGTGGCTTTAAAGTGACTCAGTGACTAAATACCAAATCTACAGTTTCGTGTGTATGTATACGTGTATCTCACTAGGACTCTCTGCCGTCTCAGCGTTTTCTGGCCCGGGTAAGGGGACCCTGCGGGTTGGCGCTGGGGGATCAGCTTGTGTCTTCGTCAGGGTGACTGTGGATGGTTTGGGTGAAACCGGTGTCAGGGACCTCCAGGCCTCCATCCACTCACAGCTCTCTGTGTTGGTCTCTGTCTTATCAGGGACGTCAGAAACCGGCCTCCGCCTCAGGACCACACTGCCGTTCTGCTGCGGCTCACCTCCGTTCTTACGGCTCCTATCTCTCTGAGTGCTGGGAGAGTCTGGTTGGTTATTGCTTTTTGTATGCTCGGACGTGCGTGGTCTTCTGCGTACGGTGTCAGTGCCAGTTGTCATGGTAACAACAGTTGTAACTGCCAGTGGATGCGGCTTCTTTCGAAGTGTCGCTGTGCCGTCTGTGATCTCTGACGCTGAGGAGGCCACGGTGGAGCGGGGCCGGGGCTCTGGACGCCGAGGTAACAGATCAGTCTGATCACCAGGGATGCCTTCTGGTCCGCTGATGGTCCTGCGTCGACTTAGGACATCATCATCTTCAGATCCAAGACCACCAGCACCTGCCTGGCGACAAAATACAGGAGGACTCACATGGAGATCATGTGACTGTTACACGTGCATATTCCTAACAAAATCAGTTTTTAAATATTTAACACACATGCCCACCTGTAGGTAGCTGGTGCTGCTTCCTAGGGTTCTTGGGAAAGTCTTGGCTCCACCCACCATAGATGTTTCCAACATGGCAGCGAGGCTGCGAACACTCCCAGAAGCCCCCTCTGATCTTTCTAGGCCTGCCGAGTCCTGAGCTCTTAAAGTTGATCGTAGACTGCCACATCTAAGCCTGCCACGGTCACTGGCTCGCCGTTCCCGATAAGCTGGCAGCCTTAGTCGTCCCTCCCCTGGTCCCTCTCCCTCCTCGTCACCCCCAGTAATGGAAGAACAGGACCGTTTAGGTGGAGTTGGGGGCCGACCTTTCCGACGAGGACGGAGGGTGACAGATGATTGGCTGCGATTAACAGTGACATCATTAGGGGCGGCAGTGTGGGTGGAGCTGCTGCGGCACACGGTGGCGTATCTAGAGTCTGACTCTGAGCCAATTAGACTGTGAGTTCTCTGTCGCTCTTCCTCCTCATTGGGCAGCCGGAGCAAGGGTACTGACGAATCAGCTGCCACCGCCTGGGCAGAGGGGCGCAGCCGAGCCCTGGGGGAGGCCTGCTGGGTTCGGCCATGTGAAGGGGTTTGTGGCAGGGTTTGTGTCAGTGTGTGTGGGGGAGTCTGTGAATGTGTGAGACCAGGGCGAGGTTTGACCGGTGGGCTGGGGACACTGTTCCTCTGCTTTCTTGCCTCCCTGTGGGGCTCAGAGCTAGTGCTGCCACCTGGGCTGGATGGAGGTGTAGAGGGGCTCTGAGGAGGCTCAGACCCTCTTTCTCCTCGCTGTAGCTCCTTCAGTCTCCTCACTCCCAGCATCAGCTTCTTCTGATGGCCTGAGGGCAAGCAGGGGTACAAAGGAATGGAGGAAAGGTTACTGTGAGGGGATGGGCATTAATATGATTTTTTCAGGTCAAATAATCAAGCCGAATTAAGTCAATTATTCCATTAGTTGTGACATCATCACCATCACCAAAGCAGTTATTTCTTTCAGTCATTTGCTGTCACATGAGCTTTTAAGTGCAACTAATCTAGTCATTTTTCCTTTGTCGCTCCGTCTTGTCTTTTTGCTGCTGAAGCTCAACGTTTCTGACACTGTTGTAAATGACTCGTCATTGTGCTGGTAAAACAGTGGAAAGATAGCTTCATCCCACATAATGAGCACTCAATTTTGTTGTCAAATTGAGTAAAATAATGCCACGCTTCACCTAGTTTTCTTTTTGTGTGTGTTTTTTCTCTGAATCTGCAGACATACTGCGTATAGTGCACAGGCTGAAATGGCATCATAAAAACTAGTTCTACTTCTTTACAGCATAAAAATGAAATGTCTCCAATAACTGTTTTCCAAATATTCTACAACGCTGACCTTTGCGACTAATCAAATAATCGATTATTCATGCACTTCCTGAAACAAAAGCTCTGTATCTTCACATTCTTGGTTATTGTAGAACCTTATTTTCCAGCCTGATGACTTAGTCGAGTCTTACCTAGCTTAGTGATGCCGATCTCTTGCAAATCTTCTAGGCTGATGTCCGAGACAAAGTCAATGTTTTCATACCCATTCTGCACCAGAACCTGATAGTACTGGCTTAGTCCCAGGTGAGACAGCCAGTCTGCCAGATTGGCCTAAAACATACACAAGGGCACAGAAACATAGACAGTATGTGAAAAGCATGTGCCCAGAGTACAAAATAGAGAATACAACTGTGATGCTGACAAATTAGTTTCTTAACAGGCTGAAAAAACTGTGCTTATGTTTGTGTACGTGCAGCTGAGAAAACTCAACATCTCTCCCCTTTTCTTAGTTTGTATTGTACAGGTTGGAGTCTTACAGGTTTGTGGTCTGGCAACCAGTCTGTCGAGGGCAGCTTGCTGATCTCTGATATTAACTTCTTTCGATGACCAGGCTTCATGACCCCAATCGCCATCAGGTCCTTCAGTGCAAAGCACATTTAGTCATATCAGACATTCACCACAACTACAGTAGGTGCTTTTCTTAATGTAAACAATTTTGTGCATACATTTGACATTTTGTACGTGAGCTGCGTGTGATATGCCTCCAGGAATATTTGGTTTTGGATAATGTCTGATGAGTGTCCCTTGTCCTTAGGGGGGTTTTACGTCATACCACCGTGTCTGCTTCAGTACACACACATACAGTACGCGAACACACAAACACACTACGCTCACACACGCATACACAGTGGCACATAAAACCCACTCAAGGACAAGCACACAATAGTGTAGTGCTGGGTATCGAACTTCGATACTTCTATGGCATCATTCGAATTACTTCAATACCATCAAGTATCAAAAAAGGCTTTTCTATATTTTTAATTTATTGATGTTAATGTTAACAGAAGCAAAGGTTGTGATAAACAGGTTTATTTTCTATGTTATGAAACTGCTTTGAGTGCACAGAAATGCACCAAAATGTGTTGTATATATAGAGAGAGAGAGCTAAAATTGGTTTTATAAAATTGGTATCAAAAAGCATCGTTTAGGAACCGCTATCAAAGTCTACGTATCGGTATCAAAAATTGTGGAATGATACCCAGCCCTACAAAAGTGTTTCCAGCACAGACTGCAACACACAGCCATGTGTGAACACAGCCAAAGACGGGTGACAAATTAAAGGAAAAACTATGATCGAGTGAACATAGATTTTTTTAGTAACCTGTCTCCAGAGCAGCTTCAGTGCTCCCGCTGGAGGGAGGAAGCATCAGTTTTCCAAGACATACGTATTCCTTCATTGTGTTCAACACACTTTCTCACACTCATTAAACCGTTCAATGACTTAGAGCTGCAAGCATTAGTTAGTTCATGGTTAGAAAATGAACTGTCAACAGTTTTGAAGCAACTTTTTCTGGTTCCACCTCCTTTAATGTGAGGAGCTGATGCTTTTCTTTGTCAGACATAATAATAAACTGATTGTCCTTGGATTTGTTGGTTGGACAAAAGACATTAGAAGACTCTGGAAAAACACAAAGGGCATTTTTCTCAAATGTTTGACATTCTGTAAATAAAAAGATAGATAATCAAGAAAATAATCTGTGGATCATTCAGCCACCCCTGCATTTCTTATTTCCACTCATTTACTCAGGATTTTCTTCTACTTTGTCACCCGCCTGTACGTAAATGAAGCAGACAGCACATGAGAAGTGACGGGTTGATGCTGAGGACTCACACCAGGGGGTCAGGTGACAGAGACAGGAGGGTCATGATGACATCATCCAGGTCAGTGGGAGAGCTGATTTGAGAGCTGTGCTGTGCTGAGCCTTGACAGACAAGAGGCGGTGAGGGGGTCAGGGGTCATGACCTTACCTCAGAGGTCATGCGACTAATGGTGTCTAGATCATATCCCGCGGTGAGGAAGTGGGTGGTGTAGAACTGCAGCTGAAACTCACCCAGCCACGCCACTACTGCCTGTTTCTAGAACACAAAACACAGAACACTACTCCCTGCTTGCAGAAGAGTCCACAGGCTTCCTCTAGAGCACAGAGTACAGACCTACACTAGAAAACAGCACAGAAACTCCTGTTGTAATCCTAAAATGTACCTTGCTCTACAACACAACCTAGAAAGCGTTTACCAGTAAAGAATAGGGACCTGCTCAGGCACACACAGTAGCGAGGCGTTCTACAAAACAGAATATAAAAGACAAACCACCAGCCTGTCTCTAGCTTGGAGAACAATGCACTGCAATATTCCCAAGGTGCACAACACCAGGACAAATTCGCAGAAAGATGTTGTCTACATTGATGCTCAAACACAAAACTACTAAAATACACAGGATTAATATCATCAGCTGATCTTTGTAGAATGCACAATATTCCCACACAATACTGCTTGTTATTCACAAGGGTTTGTATAAATCGCAAGACACACAAATTGAGAACTAAATGAAAATAAAACATGGTCCACTCTCTCGTAGTGGTAGCTAGCTACAAAGGATCTGAGATTTCTGCCACTATGACACTCCCTCCCCGCTACAATGGAGGTAAATGGAATTTCATTCATGGTGTTCAAAGCATTGAAACAACACATCTGAAAATCCTTAAAAGCAATATGTTGTTCCAGATTTGATATTTATTTGGCTCATAGTTTTGTCCACAGTGACACATGGGGAGACCTTTTGAGGTTAACAGTCTTGATGGCGGCACTTTAACATGTAGACAGAAGGAGATGGGGATTGAATGACTGACCTTACAAGTAAAGGCCAACCTGCATTATCACCTCATCTACTGCCAGTTATCTGAGCTATGTCGCAGACCTTGCTGTCAGTTCTCTTTCTACTGAAGGTAGAAAAAGGTAAATAAAAATATAGAAGAGTGTTCAGAGAATGGGCTGTGGATTATTTCTAGAAGGAGTTCATCGCTTTTGTCAGGGATCAGAGCACCGTAAATACATCTCCATTTACCTGTATTGTATTTAGTGGAGGCAGGAATCAAAGTGGTGGCGATCTCATAAGCCCTGCAAATGACACTGTCAACCTACCAGTATGGGTCGATACCACTAAGGCTAAGTGGGAAATAATGTTTTTGTAATTTGGGTTACCTGAGCCTTTAATGGACAAATTACAGAATTGGTGGCATACAGGGCGTATTTTGTGAATGACTTTAGGGTCAAATGATGTTGGACTGACTAACACTAATGCACTCTACTGTGTTTGCTTCCATAACAGGACGCTGCTGTCACCTGTTGCTGTGTTCACGTCATGTCAGCAGAATGGGGAGGGTGGGAATAGTTCTCATAGGAACAACTCGGAGCGTTCAGGCAGTAGTCCAAGATGGTGGCTGTCCACAGTGTTGTTTGCAACGATGAAGGCTGCTTTGTGTCAGTTAACCTAAATGTTAGTAACGTTAATTTATTTTGTATTGGCCACACAATAGGAGTAATGTTTACTCAAAGTGTAAGATTATCTAGGCTGCAGCTGTGTTTACACTCACTGTTTGGAACAATGAAATTGTATTTTAAGATACTACTACTTTGGCTGTGAGTCAGGTAACCTTCAACATTTTAATTTACCACACAATGCCAGTAGCTCGCTATGTTGCTAAGCAACACTGTGCATATGTCTTGTTTGTTTACCGGTGAAATTAGGTGTAACTGCTGGTGATGGTTGTTTTGAAGCCATTTTTGAATCTATAATGATGACACTTCCGCAATGCTTTCGGATATCGTAGTGGTCCCGATATCACCGACTCAGAAGTACAAGTCATGTGAACGGTTTTGCTTGTTATTACAGTTTAAAAAACATGATGTGACCGTAACATGTCAACCAGTATATACTTGATCTTAGAACACACAGAGAAAGACGGACCATGCTGCAGGCAAAATGGCGGCGTGCGACCAATGTTTGCACACTTGTCAACCTTGCCTGGAAGCTGGGTTACAGTTAGGGTTAACATTAACCCTACCCCTAACCCCTTATACCTAACCCCAGCTGTTATCACAGCCGTAAACCTGCTGAAGTGAACAACTTCCAGCTAGTATCACCAGCTTCAGAATTCCGCCATCATATCTGCAGCCAGGTTCTTGCACACAGAGCTGCTGGCAGTGTTTCACTGTGGTGTGAGGGGACAGAAGGCAAAACAGCAACTGACTCTTCGATGTGTCTGTCACTCCACCTGTCTCCATGGTGACACACTCACATGCCCATCCTCAGGGTATCATCTGTTCAGGTGCAACACAGCCTCACTGTGCCCGCTGCCTGAACCCCACCCATGTAGATGTCTGACTCTCAAACCAAGGCACTAGTTGAGAAGAAACAGAAGCAACAGAAAAAAAGAGGCCACACAGGAAACCAGTCGGCCACCCAAGAACTCACTTTCCCATCATCCTCCTCTGCCTTGCGCTCAAACGACCGCTGTTCATGAACTGCACGACTGGAAGAGCCTTTGGTGGTGGCAGAAGAGTGAGACAAAGCAAAGAAAGAAGAGGGGAAAAGAATAAAGCATATTAATTTTAACAGTAATGAACAATTTATTTCGCCCTTTTCTATTTGTCAATTACACATAGTTTTTAGTTAAACTACTAGCCATACATAACATACTACAATTAGCAAACAATTTGTTTTATACATGTTCTTTAAGCCTAAAATCCCTCAACAGACCCAGTAAGATCTGGACAACAGGAGATAACAGCTTCTCACACTCTTCTTCTTCTGAAATCGATTTTTACTTGAACTAGCAAATTAGTAAGAAACAAAAATTGCACCTTGTTCCTTCATTGTTTATTTCTTACAAGCAAAAAGCCAAAAAATGTTGCTATGTCGTGATCAAGTGCAGTCTGTGAGGATGAGCAGCACTGGAGAAATTAAACAGCCAGGTTTATATTGTCTACTGTATGTAGTTCTTCAGAATAATTTGGAAACAGCTCTCATGCTTGGCTGGCTTTGTGGTGCTGTTATAACACTACACTTCCCACACATCACTTAAAACAGTAGAATGACAGCAGATTAAAATATGCTAATTTAATCATAATCAGCTACAACTACAAGCAGTGTCCAAATTTAAGTGGGTTATCTGAGCCACCATATCAATGTCTAAACAACAGGCCATATATGTATGTGTATCAATACACATGTTGCAAATTTACTGTTGTCTGCGGGTTAAATCAAATTCTCAAATTTATAAATGCCCTGTCAGGAATTAAGAGTATAAGTTACAACCAGGTCCTGATGCCAAGATAATCACGTTATGTAATATAGTCTGTGGTTACGTTAGCTGTGTCGAGTGTTTTTCATTCTAAGGGCAATGTTCTTCTCACTTATTCTTCTTCTTTTCATGTTGTTTTGAGATATAACACTGAAACATCTCCTCAGCTGTGGCTGCTTAGGGAATTACTCGGTATTCTGTTTATTACAAGCAAACCGTAGCATTTGCAGGTAAAGCATAAAACATACAAATTCCTGATAACATTAAAGGACTTGTCCCAAGAAAAAGCAACCTGCATTTCAGAGCAGCTTTTATAAATAAAGCATAACTTAAATTACTATAATACAAGAATGGGGCCAGGAAATGCTGCCTGTGTCTGATATGAAGAGACAGTTGCTCTTTAGAGGCCACACTGACTAAAAGTAAAGAAAAAACATTAATAAAACCAGCAATCTGAGGCACTTTCTGTACAAGTCAACAGCACCTTGATGTTTTCTTAGTAATTTGATACAGAATGTCTTTTCTGAATCACTGGGTTAACTTTTCATATTAGCTAAACAAGACAAACATTGTAATATTTGCATCTTTGTAGTGTCACTGTTTGATCAATTACCAGAGGGCAGCAGCAAAACAGACCTTTAATTCAAAACATTCAAGTAAAGGCTGAGGGCAGCAGCAAAACAGACCTTTAATGCCACTGAAAAATGACACAAATTAAACATTCAAGTAAAGGCAAAGATATTTATGTTGTGTCTTGATTCGAGTTGGTGTACTTACTCGCTGACTGCTCAACAGACTGTGACTGCTCCAAGAGATGCTCCTTGGCTTTTACTGACTGAGACAGCACGGTGGCCAGGAGCTAAAACACAAAAACACACACAAATACACTGACACAAACAAACATGGGCACGCACACACTCACAAAATAAAACATTTACTCAAGCATGACCACTCAGATCCCCGAGGTGCCGTATGACTCAGCTCAGTGCACATATAACACACAGCATTTCTTACAATTTACCAGGACTGGTACAGCAGAAATCCTAGAATAAATACATCTTAAAACAGATTATGTCCATCCAGCATAATATGGTAGCACTGTTCAGCTGAGCTAATTCAGTACTTTTTTCAGATATTACCTAACAGTAGATTGGTTATATATATATATATATGTATGTGTGTTGGTAAAATGTTATTCAGAATGTGCTGACGGTGTTAGAGAACTGACCTCTAGGGTGCAGTGTGTCACTTACTGTAAAATGAAAGTACACCAGACAGTGGAGGGCGATGTACACAGACAATAAAATGCACTAAATACAAACCCTGTAACTGTCACTTCACTATTTTGACTGTAGTTGCTAAGTTTGTGTTATCTATATCCTAAAGCATACTTGCACTGAAATACCACACATGAGTGTTTGGGAGTAATTAGTTACATGTAACAGTGTTATGTCATTAAATTACAAAATAAATGTAATTGTAATCAGTTATAGTTACTGAGAAAAATACGTAATAAGATCACAGTTGCTAATCACTGTTGGTGAACAGGAAGATATTACATCCTAATATGTCCTTTTCTGTTAAAAGCTCCATTTATTTGCCAGTATTCATCAAACTGTGTTGCCTTTGAGTGGTCCTCCTGTTTGACTTTGCACCATCTCTGGTCTGCCAATCAAATCAACGCACACTGCTCTAAGCAACGTGAGGCTGAAACCAGAAAAGGGCTCTTAAATTACTGACTAACACTTGTTTACCAGTGTCATCATCAAAATGCTCCAAGTCAAACCTGAGGAAACACCGTAAGTTAATGTAACTGTAATCACTCACATACTATAAAATATCTCCTGCACCATGTTATTTACATGCTGTATGTAATCAAGGTGCAATTTAGCTGTAATGTTTGGCTCAGTGCCCATCTAGTAGGCCACATATACTGTATGTTTAATCACCATTCATGACACATTCATTGCTAGCTAGCTAACAGGTGCTTTTTGCACAACTGCACCTCCATTTATGAACCCTTTGTAGCTGTTAGACTTAGTCCAGACAGAAAAGGCTGATGCTGGCATTTGCAGGCTTAGTTTTACTATGTGACTGATATAAAGGTCAAACCAGGAGGCCACCATCTTAATGCACCTGATCTACTATTGAAAGAAACTGATGCTGTTCTCTCCAACGGAAGAACAAACTAAGCAGGAAACAAAATTGTGGTTAATTTGGTAACCTGAGTTGTGCTGTTTCCTGAAAATGCTTTGTCATTTCCCAGAAATGCTATGCTTGTTGAGTTGTAAAAATAAACGGGATGTAAACAGGTGCAAATGCATGCACAAAAAAAAACCTAAATGTGAGAAGTCTCTCACCTTTACACCTTCAGCTTGTGCGTGCAGACCTGGAGCATTAAGGCCGTGTGTGTTGAGTCCTGTTGTGGGTGCTGGGTGTGGACTGGGTGCAGGGGTGGTCAGAACATGAGTGTTTCCAGAGCCCTGCAAGCTGCTCGATGACCGAACACTGCCGAGACTGCCCACACTGCCGCTTCGCTCCCCACCTCCATATGCAAACACACACAGCGCAGGCCTCAGTATGGCACAGAACACATTCCTTATAGTCTCACATTGTTCCCCAAAATCACACGGTTTACCTGCCAGTGGTTTGCGTAGCACCCAGATATCCTCACTGGTGCTGCTCTGCTGTCCCAAAGTTGGAGAACCTTGGGGACTCAGCTCTGCAGTCCGTGAACCTGTCCCACGCACACACACATTTGTTACAGCCACTATTTTAGTCTATTTAAAACAAAAATGCAGTAATTAATCAACAGCTACCAAGACGCATAATACAGTTTCATACATAAACATGTTTAACTCTTCAAGTGCACACTATCAAACACTCAGGCTCCCAAACATACATCCACTCCACCTACACACTCATAAACATGTTAATCGGAGCAGTTGCCCAAACTCTAAGTGCTAATAACTTTGACACTTGTAATAATCCATAGACAGGGATTTGGTCATAGTGCATACAAGCACTGTTCCAAATGCCATGACTTTATTTTAAAGACATCATGACATGATATTTCAACCTAAATCATAAGTAAATGTATGTTAAACGGTTGTGCCATTAAATTTGAAATTTTCAGTTAAAGGGTCAGTTCACTCAAACAAGAAAGGTGAGTAGAATTTCTTTACTAATCGGAGCCACATTAAAAAAAAAAAGCATTTTAAAAGAAACAACTTTTAAGAAAAACATCTGGCCAATTAGGATAATGCACATATGTATTTGGTATAACAATGATAGAAAACAGCTATTAATGAAATAAACTGGCAGAAGAAATCTAATGACCTGTCCATACACTACTAAACGGACACAAAACAATAACTACAATATTTATGATGTGGTCTTGTCAAACAATGTGGACATTATGCTTATCTGTGATTTACAGTGACACTACAGTATGTACCTGTCTGACTCTGCTGCTCCTGAGAAGTGGAGAGAGGGGGAGGAGAGGACAGAGGAGTAGACAGAGAAGGAGGAGAAATGGGAAGAGGAACATACCCAAAAGAGGAGAACCGAGGGAGGGACTGTGTGCTGGGGTGAGGGGGAGGAGGGGGAGGCAGATGCAGGGGGAGGACTTTGGAGGGGGGATATGAGTGTCCGTTGACCGAGGCAATGGGACAGGGATTTGGCCTGCGGAGCAGGAAGGTGTGGCACTGCTGGGAGGGGGCGTGTCCTGGACACGAGCCAGGAGGAGGGAGGTGCAAAACAACAACAACACAACAACTGATCAGTCAACTTGAAACAAAACAAATGTAATCAGATCTAAAAATGTATAGAATGACAACTGATTAAAATCAAAATATGAGAAAATAATACATCCATATATCCACTGGATAATATATCTCTACAAAGCAAAATATAATATCACTATAGCAACAACGCAAACAAACAATATGAACAAAAGTGCCACAATCTAGCAGAGCAGGTTGTTTAGACGATTTAATAATCAAGGAGGGTGGGTGACAGAAGGAGCAGAACTATAGAGGAAAGGAGGAAGGTTAACACCAGGGAGGGACAGTAGTGAAGATGACTGACAGGTTTGGATAAGACAGATGGGCTGCCTGAAGAGGCTGATGAAGTTGCAGCTAGCTACAACTAATGATCAGCTATAGCTACTGAACAGCTGCTGAACTCACATGTATGTAAAAGCACACGCACACATCTTCCCACCCATACAGACACACACACACACACACACACACACAGCTGTGATGTGGGCAGTCACCTGCCCTCTTGATGACTTCCACCATGTTGGAGGGGAAGTAGCCCACGCGGTCATTCCCTGTGCGATTGTCGTGAATGCAACCCTTCCATAGACCATCTGAGTGCTGCTCCAAAACCTGTTGACACACATACCCTGTTTATACCTCCAAAACAATAACCGAATTGGGTTGCACAAGCAAAACAGAAATTGGTTGTGTGTGAAGTTAGCTAGTTTCAAACTAGCGATTTACAAAAATGGGTAGCACCATTAAAACTTTTTATGTCTTCACAGCGAAACTGTTGTTCGGATATAGATGTAGCACTGTTTTGGAAGAGAGCTCCTTTGTGACTGGCTGTTGGCAAACACTTTGGTTAACCTTCCTAAGATGGTAGGCAGGGCTGATTTATGGGCCTGATTTTAAAAACACAGGGTAGAGAAGCTGTAATGACAACAGAAGCGTTGCATGTCATAGAGGCAGGTAGAATAGCTGAGAGACACCACATCCTGTCCCATTTTCACTTGATTATTAGACAATGTCTACAAGTTAGTGACGGATTTCTCAACATTTGCTGCATTGACAGATAAGGTTCA